TGGGTAGGTGGGTTGGTTGGTTGGTTAGTTTTTTGAGACCAGGGTCTTGTGTAGTCCAGGTTAGTCTTGAACTTGCCATGTACCTTGAATGAGTTCAAGAATGACTTTGCTTCCACCTCCCAAGTGTGGAAGCATGGGTCACCATGGTGGTATTTGTTGGTTTGGAACATGGTTTAAAATTACTTACTTAGGGTCTAGAGAGATGGCTCAGAGGTTAAGAGCACTGGCTGCTGTTGCAGAGAATCTGGGTTCAGATCTGGTTCACATGGCAGCTAACAGCCATCTGTAACTCCAGTTCTAGGGACTCCAATGCCCTTATCTGACCTCTGGGAGTGCTGTGTTACACAGATGCACTTACATACATGCAGACAATATACTCATACACATAAAATTTTTTTAAAATAGAATATTTTGAAATTACTTATTATGTGTATATGATGTGTGGGTACACATGCACAAATGCCTCTGTGCCTGTAGAAGTTAGAGGGCAACTTTGTGGAAATGATGATGCATAAAGGAACTTCTCAGGGGCCAATAGGCATATTGAGTAGGGTTTCTGTGAACAAGTGGTTTTGCATTTGAGTAGGGGAGTCAAAAAGAGAAGACAGGTAGGTATAAGTCAGGCTGCCATAGGTGGAAGTAGGAATATCATGCTTTTTCCACTCAGATAGTATTTCTCCTCGCTTGGTACTAAGTATATTCTCTCATATTTTAATTGTCTAACACAGATGTGAAGAACTACCCGACAACAAACTTGGCTATTAAACTTACTCTGTCACTTGTGTTTTCATCCTATAAGTCTGTCTTTAGAGAGAAAAATGATTAAAACCATATTATGGCTTACTGTTAATGTATTACTTTTATGGAAATTTTAAAGAAACAGTTGACCTGCTAAGTGACTAAAGGCTTAGATTTCATATTTCTACTATGCACATATGCAGTGTTAGTGGTATTTTCAACTATGTTAAATTTAAGTTTCAAGTAGTTGACAGTTCTTCTAAAATAACTATAAAAATTTAAGTGTATTGTGCATTTTTCTGGAAGAGGGTTTGTAGGTTTTTGCAGATTCTTAGCAATCTTCCAAGTGGTTAAAAGTCACCCTACTGTATTACCAATTTCTTGACCTAAGGAGTATCTCTCCCTGTTCTCCCTGTTTCCTTTGTTGCCTCTGGACCATGGACAGGTAATTAAAATAAATGCTCATTTATTTGACCTGATAAAGAGATTGACTTTTCATAGGCCTTCAGTTACATTATTTTACATAAAGTATTGGATTTTTTTCTCTCTAGTGCTAATTAAAGGGGGATTGGAACTTAAATTGGTACTAGAGAATTAGGGTTTGAGGTTAAAGGAGATATTTCTTAGCTGTTTTTTGAAATAAGGTACTGAATAGGTTGTGAATAATTTTAATTTCAACTGACCAAGGTGTAGCGAATAAGAGATTGTAGAGTACATGTCCCTGGATAGGACTCCTATATTAAACCTCACCCACGGCTCAGGGACGAGTGAGGAAGAGGGGGTGGAAATATTGTCAGAGCCAGGGTTGGTGCTTGAACATAAGGAAACAAGCTTTCAGGCCTCTGGGAACTTGTTTATATGAACTTGCAACACAGGAGACAGCATGTACAAGACCCATGCTGACTCAATCAGACAAAAACTCAGCATAGAACTGAGGAAATGGGCAGCAGGCCCCCACCTTAGCCAAGGAACTGTTGTCAACTGATTACTTTGGGGTGAGGGAACGTTGATCTAATTTAAGGGAGTGACTCTAGATGAGGCTGATTAGACTCCATGGATGAACTTGCACTGAGGGAAATCTGGGTACAAATGATTGACCAGATAGGCCTCAACATTTTATGACAGAATACATGAACTCTTTAGGGGGAGAGGGGTTAAATTTGATTAAGATCTATTATATGAAATGCACAAAAACTCAGTAAAAATATACATAAAAATAAAAATAGGATGGGGGCCTGGGGATGTAGCTTAATTGGTAGAGAGCTTACCTAGCATATACACAAAGACCTGGGTTCCATCCCAGCACCACATATATAAACCAGACATGGTACTATATAGCTATTATCCCAGCACTCAGGATGTAGAGGCAGGACAATCAAAAGTTGAAGGTCAGTCTCAGCTACATATAGTACATTTTAGGCCAGTCTAGGTTTTGGGAGACCATATCTTTAAAAAAAAAAGAAGATAGGCACTGAAGATAGGCACTATCTGTATGAATTACTTTTATCTTGAGATACATGAATAATAAAGAGAGCATTCTAATGTCATGATTCTATAAATAGAATATCAAAAGTTCTTATTTAAACTTAAAACTTATTTGGTACTAAATTTAGATAGAAACTAGTTGTAAAAGACCATTCAAAATTTAAATAGTAACTAAAGTGAATTTCTTTTATTTTTATTCTCATTTTTTTCTGTTGCAGATACCTTTTCCCCTTATTATAAAAAGTCTACAAATAAAAAAAAGAGTATCATTTTTAAAAGGTGGTGAGGACTGAACATATAGCCCAGTGAGTGTGTATTCTGCTCAAGGCCTTAGGTTCAGGCTCCAGCACCACAAAAATGAATGAATGAAAATTAAAAATCAAATAGAAGGTATTAAGAACCTAGGAATTTCTCTTCCTAAGTGCAGGTGTAATTTTAGTTTTGTCACTAGTTCTGATCTTCTTAGACCTTGAAAAGAGCTAGAATATTCCATCGTTGTTGAAAGCTATAATTGTCTGTTAAGGTGTCACTGAGTTTGAGTTCAAGATTGTCCCTTGTCTTTTTAGGTTCCTTCATGTCAAAGAATGAGGCTATGCTGAACCGAAAACACATGCCTTTGAGGAAAGAGATGACAGAACTCTCTTCATGTTCCTTACCATGCCCATATCATACACTTAGATTATTTTGTAGTGAACTTAGATAAAATGAGTCATTCACTAAACTTGATGTACATTTGAAAAGATATTTACCTTGAACTATGACAATCTGTCTCAAATGTCTTAAAAAGTAAGCATATATCTAAAAATTGACATAACTAATGAAAAATAAGTGAAAACCTGTCCTATTGTTCCTTAGGACTATCATTTAGAACTTTGGTTTTATTAGTTGTTATAGTCAGTTCATTTAATCAAAAAACAAGCTTGAGTAATCTTTTTGTGTAATGGAAACCTGAATTAATATAACTTATTAAACTTTCTTTTTTAAAGAGTTTGGATTCTGACAAGCCCACAGAACCAGTGAAAAGATCTCCTCTTCGTCAGGAAACAAATATGGCCAACTTTTCTTACCGTTTCTCCATATACAACTTAAATGGTAAAATCTTATTAAGTAAAGTTCAAGATAGTAAGTTATATACTATAGAAATAGTGGAAATTCCAAATGTAAAACTCAGCATAAACTATATATTAACTTGACTGAGTTCTGTTTTTATTGATTTATAAATATTACTAATACAAATTAATCACAGAAGAAAAGAAAGTAGGATATAACTAGAATAGTTTTCTAGTCAATTTCTTAATAATTGACAAAGTGCATACTAAGGAGGAACCCCACAACAAACTTAATTGAATTGTTGTTCTCTGGATGGAAAATTTCCAAAGAAACTTTTTGTTCATGATTTTAAAATCAGCCCATGTGGCCTATTATTTAATGTACCTAATCAACTTCTTAATGTTTGGAATTGATATCTCTATCTGTAATTTTGTAGGCTTTTCTCTTTGTGCCCTCATCTCTTCCAGTAATACCATATCTACCTGGACCTAGACTATTATTAAGAACCCACTGAAACCTGTGGTACAATGTTACGTGGGAATTTGGTTAAAACCATAAAACAGTAAAAGATTTTTTTTAAGTATTTTGTCTTTAAACTTAAACTTTATTTTCCTTAATTGAATTCTTAAAGAAGATGGATTGTTTACTTCTAAAAATTCTTTTAAAATTTAAGATAAAAACTATTAACTCCTATATTTGGTTGGTTTTAGGCCAAATAGAATGAATTCTTTTGCTTTTCTCACCACTGCCTAACAGATTTATAGTAGACTGTATAAATTTGGTTGTATTCTGGAGACTTGTATTTTCTTCTTTGCAGAAGCTCTGAACCAGGGAGAGACTGTGGATCTGGATGCCCTGATGGCAGATCTTTGCTCTATAGAGCAGGAGCTCAGCAGTTTTGGTTCAGGAAATAGTAAGCGGCAAATCACAGAAACAAAAGTTACTCAGAAATTACCTCCTAGTCGTCATACATCAAAACATGGCACCTTGAGAGGATTATCATCTTCATCTAATAAGATAACTAAGCCTTCCCATGCCAACTACTCCCTGGATGACATCACTGCACAATTAGAACAGGCCTCCTTGAGCATGGATGAGGCTGCTCAGCAGTCTGTACTAGAAGATTCTAAGCCCTTAGTAACTAATCAGCACAGAAGGACTGCATCAGCAGGCACAGTGAGTGATGCTGAAGTGCGCTCTGTTAGTAACTCTTCTCGTTCTAGCATCACTTCTGCAGCCTCCAGCATGGATTCTTTGGATATTGATAAAGTGACACGCCCTCAAGAATTGGATTTGACAAATCAGGAGCAGCCAATTACTGAGGTAAATAGATGAAAAATTTTTCCTCTGTTATTTATTATTATAATAAGGGGGAAATGATTTTTTTTAATGTAGCATTAACTTTCTTCTTTAGCATTTAAAATTTGTCAAAAGCTCTTCTCAGCTAAAATTTAAAATAAGACCACAGACACTAGACATGGCAGTATCTACAAAGATGGTTTAGAAGAGTTTTAGATTCTTCTTTTTGTTCTTTTTTCACTTTTTAGAAGCCCTTCAGTTAATACTAGTTATTTCACATTATTAAAAATTGAGTTATGGGGGCTGGAGAGATGGCTCAGTGGTTAAGACCACTGACTGCTCTTGCAGAGGATTTGGGTTTGATTCCCAGCACCCACATGGTGGCTACGAACCATCCTTAACTCCAGTTCCAGGGGAATCGGAAGCCCTCTTCTGATCTCCATGGCATTGCACGACATGGGTGCACTCACATACATGCAAGCAATGCACTCATACACATAAAGTAAAAATAATAATTTTTTTTAAAAAACTGAGTTATGATTTGCCAGACCATTCATAGCTAATACACTGATAATTGCTTTTTTATATATGATTAAAAGTGAGAATATAAAACCACTTAAATACCCACTGTACTCTTCTAAGTTTTTCTAAGTTTGTTCCCTTTTATTACCAGAGGGATAGTGTAGTGTAGTAGAAAGTAAAAGTGGATGTAGAAAATTTGCCTCTAAATTTTTTCTTTGTCATTTGGTACCCATAGGAGCTAAGCAAGTTACTCAGTCTCTCTGAACATCAATTTCTCATAAGAAAAATGGAATTAATATTACTTAGTCTGCCTTCCTCAAAGGGTAATTCAGAGACTCAAAATGATAATATCTGAGTAGATTTTTAGAAGATGGAGTTTTCCTGAGTGTGATGGGGTAAGGGTAGGGAGTGGATTTGTGATAAGAAATTTAATAAAATCTGAGTTTGGTGAAAGAGAATTCTTTATTGAGTTCTTTGCCATAAGATGATGGTAGGATTGTTATAACAATAAGAAAGAAAAAAAATGAATGGAGCAAAACAAAGCCCTTCCTGTGAGCTTGTATTTTCATACTACAGGGTAAAAGAATCTATGCCTAATGTAAAATATTGTAAAACATTGTGGAAGGAATTACAGAGAAATTTTTATTATTTGATATCATTGGACTCTCCCATGCCCAACTGGTGTAATTTTTTAGATTTATTTACATTATCGGTAACTCTTTGTATTTACTTAAGTTCTTAGCTTTGTTTAAAATACTGTTGAGCACAAAAGAAATACTAATTATCATTGTGGCTTAGAGACAAAATGAGTTTTACTACAAAAAATGTGAGCAAATCATACCAGCCTAAAGAATAAATCGTCATTTATTTTAAATGAATCTTGTCTAAGTTCCATATTCTATAAAGAACTCAAACTGGTTTCTACTTTATGAAGAACCAGATTTCTATTTTATGATACCCAAGAATTCTGTTTAGCTACAGCTACTCATTGTTTCATGTCTTTTAGCTATACCTGCTGAAATTTAAGCAGTATTTTATTTGAGATGTGTTTTCCTCATTCTTTGTCTTGTGTACTTCCTTTCTGTCAGATTATTTTAAGTTGGATCAAGATGCGTGAGAACAGACAGATACAAACCAATTACTAAGGATACTCTGTGCATGTGTCCATGTGCCTGCTTTCCCATCCATCTTTCTAGCTGTAAAATACAGTCATTAAAGTTCAAACAACATATGAAAAAATGGAGTGAAAAGTCCCATCCCTCAGGAAACACATTAAATGGTATCTAGTGATGCTCATGGACAAAGATATTAATATTCAGTGGTGTAATGTTTACTCTGAAGTTTGGTGGGTAAATCAAAGAAAAGTCTAAAAGACTCATCTGGCTGGCTATTTTTCTTGTTAAGAGGGGTAGAAAATAACTTGCTTCAGTATCCTCTTTCCTAGATCTACTATGTTCTTACCTAAATTGAATAAACTGAGACAAGCTCAGTAGATCCAAAATCCATGCATCAAATTTTCTTAAAATCAAAACAATTTGAAAATTTTTAGTTTTTCATGCATGGAATTAAATAGTTCTATCAGACTTCTTATAGAATACTTTCCTGCTCACATGTGTCATACTCTGCTCCCAGAGTGCTTTCTATTCTTTGAGCTGGTTCTTAGAGCATTTATTTCCATAGCATTAAATCCATACTTACGTTGCTTTTTTTTTTCATGTTGAGTGTATTCTGTACTGACTTTCACAAGATAAGAATGTACTGTCTTTAGACAAAGACAACTCCCTTCTCCCTTCTTCTCCCTCCGCGCACTCTTCCTGTATGTCATGTGTGTCCCCCCCCCCGCCCCCACACCTGTGCGTATGTGCCTGTACATAAATGCGCTTGTTTTGTTTCTTTTTTTGTGGAGCTGGAGATCAAATCCAGGGCCTCACTCTGCCACTGAGCTAAACTCTCAAGCCCACCCAATGAATTCCAATAAGACTAATATTCAGTGTTTCTGTTAGAATTACTGTACACTTGGGGCTGGAGAGATGGATCATCGGTTAAGAGCACTGATTCCCAGCACCCATGTGGTGGCTAGGAACCATCCTTAACTCCAGTTCCAGGGGAATCCAAAGCCCTCTTCTGACCTCTGCGGCATTGCACCACACGGGTACACTCACATATGTGCAGGCAATACACTCATACACATAAATTAAAAATAACAAATAAAATATTTAAAAAGCCATATTATAAAAGAATTAATGTACACTTGAAGTTTGCTACTGAAGTCTGTATATTCTTATTTTCCTCTGGTGGACATCATTCTGCTTTTAAATTTAAGAAAAAACTTAATTTTCTTTATGTTTACCATCTTTATGTTTCAACTCTAATTTCCCCTAGTTGATTCAATCTTGTTTGGCTTGAATAGAATTAATGCTCTATTAATTTCTTCTTAAAATTATTTTCCCCCTAGTATCTACTTTAGGGTTTTTCCTAAGTCTTTTACCCTCAGACCTTCTGCAGACAAGATCCTTCCAGTCTCCTACATGGAAGGCTATGCCTGGCTGCCAGTGTTTCAGCAGCCTATTTGGGAAAATAAAGGATTTGCACAGGGGGTGTTCCTCGGGGTTCATTATGTGAATTTCATGTGACCCCCTTAGGTCAGGGTTTCTCAACACAAACTCAGCTGACATCTTGGGCTAGGTGACTTTTGGTTGTTTAGCAGCACTCCTAGCCCCTACTCAGTAGGTGCCGGTAGCGCACATGCTGCCTTCCAGTTTTAGACATTGTTACACATTCTGTGAAAGATAAAATCGTCCCCATTTGAGAATTATATTTCTAGGTGGAAGATTAATGGCAGGTCTTTTTCACGAAAAATGACCTTGAGTTTTCCTTTTCTTCACATTCTTTTCTTTGAAACATACTGAATTAAGATTAATTATAGATGGTTAAGCCAGAAAAATCACCATGAGTTCAAGTCCAGCCTGGGCTTCAGACAAAAGAAAAGATGATTGCTAAATATCTCTAATATTTAGAGCCAGAGATGTAGCTTTGTGGTATATTGCTTACCCAGCATATGTAAGGCTCTGTGTGTAGTCTCTAGCACCAAAAAGAAAAAAGTTTTTTGGAAGTCATCAAGTAATATATTTTATATTAAAATTGGCCCCTAATTAATAAGCTCATATGGAAAGGAAGAGTGCCATGAGGAACAGTGTGGGCCTGTGACTTCTGGTGTGTGCTGTAACTTTTGTAAATGATTTATGAACATGTCTTTGAGGGGCCTTGGAACTTGTCCTCGTTGGCTACTATAAGACACTACTGGTTCCTGTGGAGCATGATGTTTTCCTGAGCATTGGTTTCTTTCCCTTACAACCACCTGTCACTTAATGGACCCTAGAAAGGCTCCTAGTGAGCAGCATGGGCTCCCTCTGAAGATGACATGTCTGATGGAATAGACTGAGTGAGCCTCATGCCAAGCAATGGTTTATTTTTTGGGGGTCCTGTGAGCGAATATCAGTTTGAACCTGAGTGCACTGCTGATGGGCAAGTAAAAGAGTAATAGGGATTATCTGCCTAAATATGGTCTGTACCATTCAGTCTCACTATCACTTCTACTACTGCTTCTAGGAACTTTCAGGTTACATGACAAAGTCAGGTGCTGTTCTGCTTTTCTCTGGTACTTCCAATCTAACAGCAAATTCTGTTGCCCTTTTCTTCAGAATATATCCATTATCTGATCATAATTTTTTTGTAGTACTGGAGATTGAACCAGGGTCCTGTCCATGACAGGCAAGCACTCATCCACTAAACTACATCCCCAGCCAGAATCTGGTCATTCTTATTACCTTCACTACTACTAAGACACTATCTTGATCTAGATTTTTGCAATAGCCTCCCAACTGTTTTTTCTGAGTTCACCTTCCTCTTTACCATCTGTCATCTGCACTGTAGCCAGTGATCATATTAAAAGGTAAGTCAGGTTGTCTCATGCTTAAAGGTTTTGTATTTCACTCATAGGAAAGCCTAAATTCTAACAATGCTCTGTAGGGCCTGGCCTTATCTACCTTTTCTGATCTTCTTGACCCTGCTTTTCATGCTTTCCTCCCATACTCTGCATACTGCATAGTTTGCTACTTGTTCTTTGCCAGCATTCAGAACCTTCCTCAGAGCCTCTTTTTTAAAAAAATCCTTGCTTGGATGTCCTTTACTCATTATCTGCATAATAGATACTGACTACCTTCAGGGATTTGCTTAACTGTTGCTTTCTCAGTAAGGCCACCTTTGTAGCATTTAAATATCAGACTCCTCTAAATATCCTCTAATTTTTTTTCTTCCCTTTTCTGCTTTTTTTCCCCTTAGTGCATAATCTAACATGCTATATATTTTAATTTATAAAAAGTAGAATATATAGTGTGTTACTTTTCATCTGTTTCTTCCCAGGTGAACATAAACTTGATAAAGTAAGGGGTTTTCCTTGTTCTAATTCCTGGTGTATCCTTAACATCTAGAACAGTATTTTA